TATCTCCTATGCAACTTTACATTCAGTATGCGATATCTTCAACGCAACTGTACGTTCTGTATGCGATATCTCTTACGCAACTATACGTTGTGTATGCGATATTTTCTACGCACTGTACGTTCTGTATACGATATTTCCTACGCAACTGTACGTTCTGTATGCGATATCTCCTACGCAACTGTACGTTCTGTATGCGATATCTCCTACGCAACTGTACGCTCTGTATGCGATATCTCCTACGCAATTGTACGTTCTGTATGCGATATCTACTACGCAACTGTACGTTCTGTATGCGATTTCTCCTACGCAATTGTTCGTTATGTCTGCGATATCTCCTACGCAACTGTACGTTATATCTGCGATATCTCCTGCGCAACTGTATTTATGTTTTAATAATTCATATGCAACTGTACTTTATGTCTGCGATATCTCCTAGACAACTGTACGTTGTGTATTGATATTTCCTACGCAATTTTACGTTATGTCTGTGATATCTCCTAGGCAACTGTACGCTATGTACTGATATTTCCTACACAACATTACGTTATGTATTGATATCTCCTAGGCAGGTGCATGTTATATATGTATTGGCGAAGACGCACATGTGAGCGAGCACGCCGGTGGTGGTTGCAGTACAGTGTCGCTCCCGGGTAGTGGGGAGAAGAGATAAGGGATGCGATGTAGCAGGGGGTAGCGCGGGGGGGGGGGGTCACTCGGAGGGTTTCATTAGAGGATGGTTTCATTAGAGGATGGTTTCATTAGAGGATGGTTTCATTAGATGATGGTTTCATTAGATGATGGTTTCATTAGAGGATGGGTCTGAAGTCGTGGGCAAGAAGTGTATATCTACTGAGCAGATTTTCAACTGTCAGCCGTTTTCTGTGTCATCGAGCCATCTCAAGACGTGGGTAGACGCTAGTCTATATATAAACAGAAGAATCGGAGCCCATTGGGAGATAGTGTATAGAGAGGTGAAGCCATCTCAAGACGTGGGTAGACGCTAGTCTATAAACAAACAGAACAATCGGAGCCCATTGGGAGATGGTGTATAGAGAGGTGAAGCTATCCCAGGACGTGGGTAGACGCTCCTCTAAATAAACAGAACAATCGAAGTCCATTGGGCGATGGGGCAAAGAGAGCAACAAGTAGTAGGATGTGTCGGTATAGGGAGAGGTGCCAATAGCGTTGAGCTTGAACAACCCAGTGCGACTACTCGAGTTTAGTACCAGAGTGTTAATAACCTGAGCGAGATTTCAGGCAGCAGACGGAAAGTGGAGACGGACAAACAAATCAGGTCAAGGTGGGCACGGTGCTTGCCTGGATCTAAGTAGATGTGCATTAATCCATGTATATGTACTTAAGTAGGTGTGTATTAATCCATGTATATGTACCTAAGTAGGTGTGCACAAATCCATGTATATGTACCTAAGTAGGTGTGCATTAATCCATGTATATGTACCTAAGTAGGTGTTCATTAATCCATATATATGTACCTAAGTAGAGGTGCATTAATCCATGTATATGTACCTAAGTAGGTGTGCATGTATACATGTATATGCACCTAAGTAGGTATGCATTAATCCATGTATATGTACCTAAGTAGGTATGCATTAATCCCTGTATATGTACCTAAGTAGGTATGTATTAATCCATGTATATGTACCTAAGTATGTATGCATTAATCCATATATATGTACCTAAGTAGGTATGCATTAATCCATGTATGTGTACCTAAGTAGGTATGCATCAATCCATGTATATGTACCTGAGTATGTATGCATGTATGCATGTATATGTACCTAATTAGGTATGCTTGTATTCATGTATATGTACTGAAGGATGTATGCATGTATGCATGTATGTGTACCTAAGTAGGCGTGCATTAATCCATGTATATATACTTAAGTATGTATGCATGTATACATGTATATGTACCTAAGTAGGTATGCATTAATCCATGTATATGTACCTAAGTAGGTATGCATGTATTCATGTATGTGTACCTAAGTAGGTATGCATTAATCCATGTATATGTACCTAAGTATGTATGCATGTATCCATGTATATGTACCTAAGTAGCTATGTATTAATCCATGTATATGTATCTAAGTAGGTATGCATTAATCCATGTATATGCACCTAAGTAGGTATGCATTAATCCGTGTATATGTACCTAAGTAGAATGCATTAATCCATGTATATGTACCTAAGTAGGTATGTATTAATCCATGTGTATGTACCTAAGTAGGTATGCATGTATTCATGAATATGTACCTAAGTATGTATGCATGTGTTCATGTATGTGTACCTAAGTAGGTATGCATTAATCCATGTATATGTACCTAAATAGGTATGCATGTATCCAATATATGTACCTAAGTGGGTATGCATGTATTCATATATGTGTACAACGCTTGGGTTCTATGATGCGGCACTGTCTTGTTACATATCCCACATCCTCCCGCACAGACATCAGAGGTGTATGGTACTGTGGTAGGCAATGAGATGTGAGCCAAGCCACCGATTGAACCGTTCATGGCTGCCACAACAACATTTGAAGCAAGGAGATCGCACGAGGATGCAGTTTTCAACCTAGTCGGTTCCACTTTATTCTAAACCTCTAACCCGTTATTAAAACGTAGTCAACTAATGCACTGCCGTTCATCTGTTCAGTCCATGGCTAGCTATGCCGGGAGTAACACGTTTGCCCCTGAACACACCAGGCAGCCACAGCACCTGTCCGCTCCAACCGACAGAAAGTGTCCTGTCCTCTGGCTTTAACATCCACCGGTAACCCCCGAGCAGTCCCGTGTAAGCCCGAGTCAACGCGTTTGCTAAGTCTGACACGCCTATGCATGTGATGGGTGTCCACGTACATACATGTGCGAGACCCCTATAGCATACACACACACACACATACACACACCAGGCAGCAACAAAAACGACACACACACAAACACGCACCAATGGCAGTTACCAACGCCACCGGCGTCCAGTACTAGCTTCACATCTGCACTACATCCGAAGAGACGCCGCGTATATTTGACCAAAGCACACGGTGCCCCCGCGCTCTGAGACTTGCACCGAACAATCGCTTATGGCACGCTCTATCTATGCCAGGAGGCCCATTACAGTGTCACCAGACTGCTTGCTGGTGCGTGTGGTTGCAGAGGGGTTAGGGCACCCGGACATGCATATGGGCAGAGGTTTACGCAGAGAGCTTCAACAGCGCAAACTCTCGGGCGATCTCTAGTCCTTGGTCTTGGCAGTTGGGAGTGTCGGTCATGCATTGGGCGGATAGTGGTTTGCCGCCACCCTATTGGGTATGGGATGTATTATCAGGAATCTGATCAGTCTTTATCTGGGCTATAGCCAGTTAAAAGTGTTTACAGCAATCTGAGTAGTCTGTAACTAGGCAATAGCCAGTTAAAAGTATTTCCAGGAATCTGATTAGTCTGTGTCTAGGCTATAGCCAGTTAAAAAGATCCACAGCAATCTGATTAGTCTGTATCTAGGCTATTGCCAGTTAAAGTTATTTACAGTAATCTGATTAGTCTTTATCTAGGCTATAGCCAGGTCAATTAGTGTCGTGTATATAGTGTACGCGACTTTGGTGGCGTATCATTACGCTGTCGAATGTATATTGAAACAACCACATCTAAAATCCTCACCCCTAATATTAAACCAAACTTACGAACTTATACGGTCCCTTATCTAAAGAGTGATTCATACCTGCTTTGCCGCTCATATGGCACACAAGACGTCCGCATTTCGACCACACAAAAACTTTCCTACATATAAATTTATATCCATGCGGAGCCTCCCAAACATGCATGCATATATATATAAATATATATAATAATATTCAGGTTACATATATATAATATTCAGGTTATATATATATAATATTCAGGTTATATATAAATATATATATATATACATACCTTGCCACCTGTCTTACCAGACACTGAGGCGATCCAGTCCTTTGCGCTGAAACCAGAAGCCACCAATGGCTTGCCAACATTGGCCAAGAAGATAGTCTTACCATCGTTTACGGACGATACAAGTACAGCAGCAAGAGGATTCACCGTTGTGGCCGCCTTAATAGCGGCTTGTAGAGCCTAATATAGGGTGTGGTTTCGAGTTAAATAGAATGTATAAGGGGTATGTAGATACATTACTGCAGGTATACATAGATGTATAATATATATATATGTATATATATGGAATCGAAATATAGTACTTGTGGCAAATGTAGCAGTTTGCAAAACGTGAATTTGAGTGAGCGGAAGTACGTATGATTCTACTAGCACAGATCTTTATAAGAAACACTTTCACCCCGGTATACATACATCTAAACAAGTACCAATACCAGTATGTAAATTGTCTCAATTAATAATGATCCATATATACATATATATAAATATATAAATAATACATATATATATATATATATATATATATAAATGAATATGTACATATATGTATTTATATAAATATAAATATAAATATATATATATATATATAGGTATGTATATAAATATAAATATAAATATAAATATAAATATATGTATATACATATATATGTAAATATATATATATATATATATATATATATATATATATATATATTTATATATATATATGTATATATATATATTCCTACTCACAAGAAAATAAATGCAATACTTTTATTCATACCACATCAGAAGCATATTGTTGTATATACATCGATCCTAAATCAGAAGCATCGATACATATCAAGATACAAATCTTCAAAGTAGTTAGCATGCATAGCGTACCATTAAGTCCAAAACACAAAAGCTCACCTTTACATCAAAATTGTCGCCCAATTTGGTGATGAGGAATTTGGCGTCTGGCGATTCCTCGGCGAATTTCTTCATGACAGCTACGGCCTGTCAAACCAAATTCATCAGGATGAATATATCGCCGAGTCAGTATATACACATGAATCTATCCTTCATTGCTATAAGTTACTCGAAAGGGTTGAGATATCCTGGTCGACTGATAAAATAGGCTACAGATTGACAGACATACACACACAGACACACACTGATACCCAGACAAGCACACGCACACGCACACGCACACGCACACACATATATATACATATATATGTATACATATACATACACACACACACACACATATTATATATACATATATATATATTATGTATTCAGACAAATACATATATATATATTCAGACAAATTCATTTCCACATATAAACACAACAATGGAGCCTACCTCCTTCTCCTTCACAGCCCTCTGAGACTTCACCCAGTCGCCATACGCCTTCTTGAGCACATCCAGGTCCTTCCTGAGATTGTCCTTCTGCGTCAGTGACATGACAGAGGTATCAATCTGTTCCCTGAGTGCATTGATCACCTTAGAGCTCTCCTCCACTTTGAGTTTCTTGGCATCGTCCACGGCGGTCTTCAGGTATTGGGCCATGGCGGTCGCCTGCGTTGTTGAAACGAATAGTTTATAGAGGAGTACTTGAGAATGTGAATATGGATATGTATGTTTTAGAGTTTAGAGTTCAAACGAATAGTTTATAGAGGCGTACTTGAAAATGTGGATATGGATATGTATGCTACCGAATAAATATGATATGCATGACAATGTGTGTTATTAGATGGAGAGGAATGTGTGTGTGTTATTAGATGGAAATAAAAGTGTGTTTTATCCGGTGGAAAGGAATGCGTAAGTTTTAGATGGAGAGGAATGTGTGTTATTAAATGGAGAGGAATGCGTAAGTTTTTAGTTGGGACATGAATGTGCATGCTTGTTTGACAACGTCCACTACGATCTTCAGGTACTGAGCCATGGCTGTTTCCTGCGGTGTATGAAAACACATAGACGTTTAACGATTAACGAGTAGGTGTATACATAAAAATATACACACGTGCACACATTAAAAAACATGTGCGTACACACGTACACTATATATACACACGTACACACACACACTTCCACATACATACATGTACACACACACACTTCCACACACATACATGCACACACACACACACACTTCCACATACACACATGTGCACATATACACACTTCCACATACATACATGCACACACACACACTTCCACATACATACATGCATATACACACACTTCCACATACACACATGCACACACCTCCTTAGCTTCGTTTCCGGTTAGGGCCACCACCCGTCGCACACCCTTCTGCACAGCCTCCTCAGCAACCAGTACAAACGACTGCAGATCAGCTGTATTCTCAACGTGCGTACCTCCACAGTACTCAATGGATGTGGACAGCCATTGGGGGTCAGCCGGAGCCTTCACCAGGCCGTCTACTCCGAATCCTATACTTACTACACGCACGGGGTCTGGATAAGTCTGGGAGTATGCGTGAGCAGACCGGGTACTCGTTAGTGTATATATGAGTGTATGCATATGCACATGTACATGTATATGTGTGCATGTCGATATATAGATATAGATATATAAATAGATATAAATATAAATTTTATTTATAGACATAAATAATAATATATATATACAGATATGTATTCACATATATCAAATAGGTACGACCATTTAGCAATCTGTCCATTGCAAAGGTATATGTAAAAAAATAGAATAAAACACAGGAATACTTTCTTAAAATAACCCCTCCCAATCAAATACAACTTCATAAAGATGTACATAAATGATATACATACAAGTAATCATGTGTGCATAGATTATACGTGAATGTCTTTGCACGTTTAATATACTATATATATATATATATATATATATATATATATATGCATATATAGGTATATATATGTATAGATGCATATACATAGGTATATATATACATATATACATATATATAAATATAAATATATAAATAAATAAATATATAAATAAATAAATATATATATATATAACTATATATATATGTGTGTGCGTGTATGTATGTATGTATATGTACCTCGCCGAATACGGCTCTTAGACCCTTGATTTCATTTGCTAGATGCAATGGTGTGACTTCTGAGTACACGTGTGATCCTTTGGTGATGAAATCGTTCACTGTCTTCTCAATCTCCGCCGCCTGATCGGGCTTCACAGGAGCCTATGGATATGATATAAATAGAATGTAGGTTGTAAGTATGTGATATGTATAGAATGTACGGTGCACGGTGTAAGTATGTGATATGTATAGAATGTAGGGTGTAAGTATGTGATTAAAATTATAGTGTAGGGTGTAAGTATGTGATATATATAGAATGTAGGGTGTAAGTATGCGATATGTATAGAATGTACGGTGTCAGTATGTGATATGTATAGAATGTACGGTGCACGGTGTAAGTATGTGATATGTATATAATGTAGGGTGTAAGTATGTGATTATAATTATAGTGTAGGGTGTAAGTATGTGATTATAATTATAGTGTAGGGTGTAGGAATGTGATTATAATTATAGTGTAGGGTGGAAGTATGTGATATAAACAGAATGCAGAGTTATAACTCATGGAAGGTAGAGTCTGCGTGTATAACCAGGGCTCTATCGGGTAAGCCTAGTTGATATACGTAGATTGTGGGAGTCTGCGCCATTGGAATCCGTGCTCAGGCGTGACAAGAGCCTTAAAGTGTGGTAGAAATAATAAATGTCCAGGTTTGGTGAAATGCAGGATCGAGTCCGCGATATCTTTGGATATCACCCACTACACACTTGATATATAGGCACATATACATGGTATATATGCATATGCACGTATACATGGTATATATGCATATGCACATATACATGGTATATATGCATATGCACATGCACATGTGTACATTGATCAGAAAGTCACCCCAGAGTCTGTCGTCTGAGCCAAGCGATCCCTTCAGATCCACGCCATCTCCCAGGGTCTACCACAGCATATATGTGTGCTTACATACACACCCACACAAATATATACCAAATCACATACTTGATACACACACGATTTCTAAATATGTAAACCACAAAAATTATATATATATATATACATATATATACACACACACACACACATACATACATATATATATATATATATATTTATATTCATATATATACATCGACCTACATACATTGGTGGAGAAGTCGAATCGGAGCCTGTCGGCTGTAACCAGCGATCCCTTCTGGTCCACGCCGTCTCCGAGCGTCTGCCACAGAGCATAGTTAAGCAGATGTGTAGCCGTGTGGTTTCGCATCACCGGAACACGCCTGTCACTGTCAATGCTAACATTGACTGCATCGCCCACTTTGAGTGAACCAGACGCGAGTGTGCCTGTGTGTAATACGTATCCACCGTACACTTGACAGCCAGTCACCTCGAAGTCGACTGTGGTGACGCCGGGCGGGAGATTTTTTTTGGGGGGGGTTGATAGGGAGGTGGATGTAGATGGATGGTGTGGGATAGGAAAGTTATGGAAGTATAGGAATGGTATAGAAATAGAAACAGAAATGGAAATAAAAATCGGAATAACAATAGAAGTAGATCAATATAGAGATATAGATATGGATAAATCTGACATCCTTGTCAGCGTATAGACATGTCTAGACGAGTAGAACGCACATATGTTTGTCTGCGGCACTGCGTGGAGACTACAAGCTCCACAAACCACTACCAGATACACACACCACTATCACACAAACACACCACTATCACATACACACACCACTATCACATACACACACCACTATCACATACACAATACACACACCACTACCACATACACACACCACTATCACACAAACACACCACTATCACATACACACACCACTATCACATACACAATACACACACCACTACCACATACACACACCACTATCACATACACACACCACTATCACATACACACACCACTATCACATACACACACCACTATCACATACACACACCACTATCACATACAAACACCACTATCACATACACACACCACTATCACATACACACACCTATACACACAAAAACATATGCTCGTATAAAGTTCAAGCACACGTACAAAGACATCCTATATACACAGAACTAAGTATAGCCAAACTATTCGTACGAACCATCATAGCCAGTGGAAATAAAACCATTGTCGTATATCTGGCCTCCTTGTTCACGTACCGACACGTCTTGTCGAACACAATGGCCACCAGTTTGTCTGCACTATCACTCTGCACTGAGTCGACAACACACACATAAACACATCCACACATACGTACACTCAACCACACACGCACACACACGTGCATGCATCTATTCACCGACGAGCGTAAGACTAACGTAACCGTGCGTACCATCATCGCCAGCGGAAATGAAGCCCTTGTCGTATATCTGACCTCCTTGTTCGGCGTACAGACATGTCTTGTTAAGCAGAACACCCACCAGTTTGTCGGCGCTTTCGCTGTGCACTGAGTCGACAAACTCCTTGCCCACCACAATGGCCTGTACTTCGGCGTCGGTTGAGGCGAACTTGTAGTAGTTTGACTGTGGGTAGAGATGAGATGCACACAGACGTGTGAGTACATTCACACGCACCGGCACAGGCGTCGGATGCATATATATATATATATATATATATATATGTTATGGCCCTATGAAATTTGGATGTACTAAGATGTGCAAAGGTGTCAGAGGAGTATGCTCTATTCAATATGACTTCAATACCATCCCATCCCGTATCGACCACTGTCGCAGAAATACGTATATACTGATCTACATTGATTCTGCGATGCCTACAAACATATCTAGACTGCCGCATAGTCAAGTACCGTTACGGCGTAACCCTGCAATCTGACGCATACCCAAGATCGTTCGGTAAAATACATACATACATGCATTCAGGAATATACATACATACGTGTTCGTTTGTACGTGTACATAATCACATACAATACACCGATACTGACACGTCTACAAACATGCCTTGTCTTTCGCATAGTCGTACTTAGCACTGTCGTCTGTAGGCGCTAGTTCGCGTTCCATCTTCAACACAGCAATCTGATGCACATCCAAGTTAACTTGGTCAACCGCTTTAGAACCACCGCCCTGAGATATTAACCTTTTATGAACACAGAAGGAGATAGTGGGATGCGAGTAAGACAGTGAACCGTGGTATACACACACACACACACACACACACACACATATATATATATATATATAATGTATATGTATGAGTGTGTGTGTGTAGGCTGATATATACATATGTGTAGAAAATGATGTGAATATGTCTGTTTCTAACAAAATGCATTCATAGGATCATACATGTGTCCACCTACGTAGCCTATTCAATGACAGCTTCATACCCAACCATATACACCCACACGCCTTTCGTTCCAACCACAAAACGCACTACATACTTATCGATATAGATACACACATAAAACTGACATAAATAAACATAGATGAATACTGCAACACATACATATGTATATGCATAGGGTATATACATACATATGTATATACATAGGGTATTTACATACATATGTATATACATAGGGTATATACATAGGGTATTTACATACATATGTATATACATAGGGTATATACATACATATGTATATACATAGGTGTACACACGTGCCCCCTTACTTGGCTTCTTCCTTGCTAGCTTCGTATCCAGCCATATCCACCTGCACACCTCTCTCCTCAGCCATAAGTGTCACTAGATCGACGGGGAATCCATATGTGTCGTATAGTTTCCATGCCACTGCACCCGGCAGGGTGTTGTCTACCAGTTGTGTTTCACATGCCTACAGGGTTTAGTACAAATACATGAGCTGGAGAAACGATATTACTTACATTTAATTATTATATATATATACTATATACATACATACATACATACATACATACATACATTACATACATACGTACACGCACACACACACACATATATATATATGTATATATATATATATATAAATATTAGATATAC